GGATGCTGTCAATCCCCAAAGAGCAGCCTGCCAGTGGGATGGGCAGCAGCAAGGCTTTGGAGATCTAGCTGGGATGAGCTGAGTGCCTGAAAAAGGGCTCTTTGCATTGCTGCAGGGTGTGGGAGGAGGTAAGGACTGCTGCCGGATGCTGGGGGTGCAGGTACCCCATTGCACACACATCCACATGTGCGTGCCGCAGGGAAAACGCTACTCTGAGCCTGAAACTTCAGCTTCTGGTTCCCTGCGCCCGCACAAGTTGGGAGCCAAGCTGCATGGCATGGCACGGAGGCACAACTTGCCTTCTTCTTCCTCCTCCTGAATGGAAATGCGAGGCTGACAGAGAAACAGCCTCTTGTGTTGACAGGGAGATGCCTCCTGGCTCCGGTGTCTGTCTGGGTGGATCATTTCCCCTTCTCCGGTGTGTTTTGTCACTGCCTGATCCATTCTGCTGCAAAGCTTGTTCATCCCAGGCTGGTGTTTTTGGGGGGGAAGTGATGGAAACTGTGCTTTGGAGAGGAGAAGCAAGGAGGGAGACAGGGATTTGGTTTTGCATTGTATCGTGGATCAGAGCTTTCAGAACGTGAGCTACCGGCTACCTGCGGGGCCCGCAGATGGAGAAGGGAATTTGCGGTGGAGGAAGCGAATCAGTGCTTTGCTTGCTGGATTTCTTTAGGAGGCACCCAAGGAAAAGCATGGATCGAGCAAGTTCTGCCGCAAGAAAGAGCCGATTCCTAATGTTCTCCATGATGGGAAGCGTGTATGGATGCGTTCCCTGCACGCGCATCACCCACACAGGTTGTTAATTAGCAGGGGATGCTCATCATGTTAATTGAGTGATGCTCAGTGAGGACTGCGTTGCTTTGGGGGAGAACAGACTGAAGTCTTCTTGCTGTGGATCCTAAGGGCCTGATCCTCCTCCAGGGGGTGAGGACCAGCTTGAGGGATGTCAGAGGAACCAGGCTTGGCTCAAAAGCAGCTGCGCAGGCGAACGAGTGACAATCAAATGGGATAAATGAGTCTGGATTTATCCCCTGCCATCAAACTTGTTTCTGTTCACATGTCATGGAAATGGGTCTCAGTCAACTCGGTGGTTTGTACGGAGAAAGGAATAGCATCCCAGGTCCTGAGCCAGGCGCGTGCCGGTGTCTGTCCTGGGAGCTGGAACAGGCAGCCCATCCCGGCCTCTGGGAGCCTGGGGGCAACGTTTGCTCTCAAATGTTGTCTAAATGTGCCTCCAAATGTGTGGCTCCTGCCCCAAACACTAGGAAAAGGGTCCTCCTTGGAGCTGGGAAGGGAGAACCACCACCTCATGGGGTCCAGTTCCCTTGCCTAACCTCTTCTGAAAGCATCTGCAGGTCTTGTGTAGTGAGGTAGTGCTTGTATTAGTGATACTCGTGGGGATGGAGACCAAGAACATCTCCCAAACCCATGTGTGTCCCCTTCCTCTGGACATCCAGGGTGGTGCAGACCCATCTTTGCTGCCCTTTTCCTTGCTGTCCCCTGCCTTGATGGCAAGCAGGATATATTGGAGGAGTACGTTTTGGTGGCCCTATGGTCCCAAACTCTTGAGGAACACAAGGCTATAGTGTCCCCGTGCTGGGACACTGATGAGGTTCAGCCTTTGAGCCACCACCATCCCACCACAGGGGATGTTTGAGATGCGTCTTCCTTTCAGAGCAACACAAAAGCACAAACCTGGCCCTTATGGATCTTAACAGATGTTTCACTCCCAAAGCAGCTCAAGGTTGGGCTCCCTCATGCAAAGGTCCCACCACCATCTCGGCACACTTGCTGCCATCCATAATAGGACTTCCAGCCAACCCCAAAATACCACGTTCCACTCTTCCTCCAGCACTGGGAACGAAATGCATGGAGCTGGGGAAGCGGCAGCACATTAATGCTGTTTATTAGGACAGCAACTTGTGCCAGAAAAGACTACACACAACAGCTAATGATAACATGATGCACATCCACTAATAGCTAATTAATCTCTTCGACTTGCCTAATGTACAAAGAGGAGCCTTCGGTTTGCGAGAACAACCCAGCCATTTGCATCTCTGGTTCCCTATAATTGGGGAAGTGGAAGGAACGGGGAGCGAAAACCCCACCACGCTCATCAAGTTGTTCACCTCGGCAGATAATAATAATGAGACGATCATCTCCTGTAGTATTTAATTAGAAATGTCGCCGTTAATTGATTTCTTGGATATGTTAATTAAGAAATAATGAGGACCAGGTTGCAGCTAAAGGTGCCAGCGAGAAGTTTTGAGGCCCTTCTGGAAGATGCTTCTGTTGGCTGCTCCCTGAGCTGGCCAGGGGACAACCCCAGGCTTGTGTCATATCCTCAACCCACCTTTCAGCTTGGGCACAGCTCAGCTCCTTCCAGTTCTGCTTGTTGCTCATCTCTCTGCTCTACATCCCTGTGCATGGCCAGGTCCTGGTGGGATGCCCAGCAGGTCACCCCGTGCCAGTGGTTCTATCCATTGGGATGACTCTTCCA